TACTGTCTTACATTCAGTAATGTTCTGTCTCTAGCATGAGTGCTTTTTGGAAGAAAAAAGTTTATGAATCATATTTATCTACAGTCCAGAGACTGGGACACACTAGGAAAATGCAGCAGCATGCAATATGAAACGGTAGGATCATTTAACATGAAACGCTGTGGATGTAGATGTAACATTAAGGTTTCTTTCAGCCGGATTGTTATGGTCTGCTCTGGCTTTCTGTGAATGACTTTTATTTTGTAGGAAACTTCCTGGTTTCCTCTCTCTCACTCTGTCCAGCTTGACTACAACTATCAGCAGCTGATTCAGCTCACCCCTGTCTTGTTTCCCAGTCCATTTAATCCCCACCCTCCATCTCCTAAGATGCCAGATGCTGGTCTGATGATATCTTCAATTTGTTTTTCATCTGTGTTTTATTTTCTTTTTTTACCTGAGCTCAGGACAATTTATGTTTAGCTGGCCAGCTGAAAAGGAGCTGTGATTTTTCCAAGAATATAAATTTTCTTTTTACCTGGACATCCAGACATCCACCCAGTTCCCAGAGCAGCCTTGCCCTTTTATTAACACCCCTATAAAAATAATAAACTTCTTACTTGTCTCATGACTCTTGCATTTGGGTCCTTTAAGTCCTGGTTTTCTGACAGTACTTTCTGGCCAGTCATGGACCCAGCATGTTCTATTTGTTTCACCATGCGGTGAAAAAGATTTTTGATCCTGGCTCACCTGAAATGGAGGCGTCCTTAAATCTGACCAAGATTAACCAAGGCAGTTGTTCTGTGGCAGACTGCACTATTGAGTTTACCCTGGCTGATGACAGCTCATGGAATGAGCCTGCTCTCTGGAACACTTTCTATAGGGGCCTGGCAGACAATCTCAAAGATGAGCTGGCTGCTCAAGATCTGCCAGCAGACTTAGAGGAACTCATCTCTCTGACAATGCAAATAAATGCCCACCTCAGGGAAAGACTAAAGGAATGAGCTCAGGCTGGCCACTGAATTTCAGACCAGAGGGCAAGAGGCAGAATGGGGTCTCTGCAGTATTTTTTTTTTGTTAGCAAACCACTCTCTCAAAGATTGATGACACTACCTCTGGATCCTAGGAACCCATGCAGTTGTGGTGAGCCCACCTCAGTCCAGAAGAGAGGCAGAGACACATATTACAATATCTGTGCTCATATTGTAGCTAGAGTCCAGGGCTGTCCTGTAAAAGGATTGGCTCATTAGATGGCAGGAGAGCACTACTAAGCTTGACACTGTTTGAATCCTCCTCTACTTGACCTCAAATGTCTGTTCATTTAACCTTTCAGTCCCAGCAGCATGACATACATGTTTTTGCTGACTCAGGCACAGACACTGAATTCATTGATGAGAGCATGGCCAGGCAGCTTCAAATCCCTCTGGAACCCTTGGAACAGCTTGGTTTGGACCTTGGACAACCATGTTTTCCACCACATCTCTGAGCAGACAGTTCCCACCCACCTGACCATTTCAGGTAGCCATCATGAAAAGAGTCAATTCAAAATCTTTTGCTCTCTTCAGTTACCACTCATTCTAGGATTCACGTGGTGACAGAAACATAACTCACATGTGGATTGGCAAAGTGGGTGGATGATTGGCTGGGAGGGTAAACTGCTTATCCCTATGTCTTCACTCAGCTCTGTCTTTGCCTCCCAGTCCAGGGCCTAATCAATTGCCAGATCACTGTCCAGATAACTGCAATTGACCTGTTGCCTGGTACCATGCCTCCTAGAGGATCTTTTATATTCACTCAAGTACATCAGTGAGTTGCGGGGGTGGGATTCTTCTTCATGGGCAAAAAGGATGAAACCTTGCAGCCCTGCATTGATTAGCAGAACCTGGATAACATTACAGTGAAGAACCGGTACCCGCTGTTGCAAGGCACTCATTTGTTTACCAAAGGAGGGGGGCAAGTGGAAAACAGCTTTCAACACACCCACAGGCCATTAAAAATACCTTGTCATGCCCTTCGTTTAACCAGCGCCCCTGCCATGTTCTTCTACAATCAACAGGAACATACACAACACGTCCAGAGGATTCTGAAGAATCTTCTGTGGGCAAAAAAGCTGGTATGGATCAAGACCACACACAATTCCCTCCTATCCACAGCCACTGGTATGTCCCTCTTCCATATGGTGTATGGCTATCAACCCACCTGGGTTGAGTTGCAGGGGAAAAGGTCTGTGATCCATCAGTACATGCCATGGTCTGCCATTGTAGGCGCATCTGGAGACGGAACATCCCAGTCTTACTTAAAGTGAATGACTAAATGCCGCTCCCCTGCTCCACCATATAGAGAGGACCAGAAGGTTTGGCTGTCAACTACGGACCTACCTTTGAGGGTGGAGTGCCGCAAGTTGGTGTCTCGCTTTATAGGTGCCTTTCCTATTTCCAAACTACTGTACCCAATTTCAGTTCACCTGAAATTACTCAGAGCTCTGTGTGTCCATCCAACTTTTCACACATCCAAAATAAAACCTTTGAGAGAGTCTCTAGTACTGCTTACAAGTTAATGCATAAAAAAAGAAAAAGAACTATGGCAAAGCTGTCTGACATAATGAATACTTTTTGATAATTGGAATGCATTTGTTGTCATTGATGTATTGAGCAAAGGTTTGCATGCAGGACTTGTAATTGAGTAGTTTTATAAAGAGTGTGTGTTTATTTCTTTTACTTAATTATTCCAGATACTTCTAGCATCACTGCAGGATTGGGGCATGATTCATAGTACAACACATGGTGAGGAGACACAACTGTAGGTTCTTATTTCTGCCACATGATGGCGGGCGGTACAACAGCTACAACTCAGCTGATGCTTCACCACCATCCTTTCATCAGTTTATTAACCTTTGGCATTCTGTTTGTTGATGGTCCAAATCAGTCAGCTCTTAAATTTGAACAACATAACAACAGACATATCAAGGGTTTAAATGTTTATGTGTCACATACAGAAACAGTGTGTTAAAATATGGTGTGCTCCAAGGCTGCGCTGAGTGAGAACAATGAAAAATGAGGATAAAAATTCAGAAATGAAATTCATAAATATGTATAAATGTAACATGTAATTGTATTACAGGTCACAGTTGTACGGTCAGCTATTCAGTGTATTAGAAAAGGCTTAAGATACACAGAGGTAAAATGTCAGAAAGGAGCTGTTTCTGTCACTGTTATGTGCACAGTTATGGAATAGTGGCCCCCGGTGGTTAGAGCCATCAGTATGAGTTGGCGCTGCAGATGTTTGCCTCAGTTTTGTACTGGAAACAAATTTTGGCGCTGCAGATGTCGGCCTCAGTTTTGTACTGCAAACCAATTCCTTATGTGTATAACATGCTTGGCCAAATAAAGGTGATTATTATTATTATCCTTAATGTGCACTTTAAGTCAGATCTGGTAGCAGAGTAACACTTAATGGTCCATATTTAGTATTCCTTATATTATGGCATTTGAACACTGTCATGCTATATCATATGTTTATCATGCTGACAGCCTGTTGCATCAGTTGGAGCACAAAATAGTTTTGTTTTCTTCTGTTTTATGTCAGTGTCATCCTAACACCAGCAGTACTACAACAAGAAGTAGTTACTAAAGGATTCCAGCAGGGGGAGACTGTTGAGCTATGTTAAGGGACACATTGCTTCCTCCCTCTAGTCTTAACACACAGTGATAGGTTTGTGTCTGTACACCTTTCATACAAATACTCTCTTTACAGGTGTGAGTCCTCGTAATAACTGTTCACGGTCACACAGTAAATGAGTAATGTGCTCATGAAGGTATTTGTGGTCGCCTACAGTATGTTTGTTTATTGCAAAGTAAATTACCTGCTGGTGATTAAGCTGCCTTGGTGGTAATTTCTGATTTGCTGGCTGGTGTCTGTGTGTTCATCAACAGTTTTACCTCTGGTCCAAATGCATTTTACTGCAGGTAAGAAGAGGTATGATGCTTTAGTGAAATGATTTCACATAAAAACTGCTAAAAATCAACACAGACACACACCACACATGATTAATTTAGACTCTTATTTATTTCTCAGATTCTCTGGTCAACATCAGTGAACAGCGATGATGATGATGATGATGATGATGAACTCTTCACGATGATGAAGATGACTGGCTATTGTCATCTGTGGCAGCTCAGTGAGTCTGGATGGTGGATGAGGATGTGGAGGAGGAAGAGGAGGAGATCACCTTCCTATCAACCACCTTCTCCACCACCGTCATCACACTCTTGGTTTTCGTGGTCAAGGAGGTTGAAGTTTCAGCGCTGCAGAACAGTCAGAGAACAAAAGAGTCAGACTGGCTGCTGAGGGCTTCATGTTGTTCCCTGGTTTACATCACAATACCTGAACAGCTTTGGACAGCTGGGGACACCGTTGCCTCACAGCGAGAAGGTTCTGGGTTCGGGCCCCACCTGGGACCTTTCTGTGTGGAGTTTGCATGTTCTCCCCGTGCTTGCGTGGGTTCTCTCCGGGTACTCCGGCTTCCTCCCACAGTCCAACGACATGCAGCTTAGGTTGATTGTTGTCTCTAAAATTGCCCATAGGAGTGCATGTGCGTGTGTGTGGTTGTTCGTCTATGTGTTAGCCCTGTGATGGATTGGTGACCTGTCCAGGGTGTACCCCGCCTTCACCCGATTGCCGGCCGGGATTGGCTCTGGCGTGACCCCGCTCAGGGACTAAACGGTAGAAAATGAATGAATGAATGAAAAGAAATATGTCAAATACAAATACCTCAAAACTGTACTTTAGTAAAGTACTCGAGTAAATATACTTTACACCACTATCTAAATGTAACAACTAATAATTTTTGAATATCTGGAACTTTCTCTCAGTCGGAAATTCTAATTATTAATGATTTTAAAAATACTCATATTAAGTCAGAATTATAAACTTAAGTAAAAATGGTTTCTGTCAAACATTTTGGAAATGGCTATTTTTATTTTGTCATTTCCAACTTTTCACCCATGTTTTAATCCTCAGTAAATATGTCAGTGGGACTTTTGACAAATTCATACAGCATTACAGGCCGTCTCGCTCAGCAGATGATGAAATGCCATCATCTTACACATATGAAATAGGAAACTGTTCTAAAAACACACTGAACTATAACTTATAAATCAGAATGCACACACCTCTCGCTCTCTCCATCCAGCAGCCTCCTATACTCTTTGATCTCCAACTCCAGTCTGGTGTTCAAGTCCAGCAGGTTGGTGTACTGGAGCCTCTGGTTTTCCAGGTCGGCCCTCAGCTGGGTCAGCTGCTCCTCTAGAGCCTCCACCTGCCTCTGGTAACCTGCCAGTATGGTGACGTGGCGACTGCTGGTCTCGGCCAGAGTCCCCTCCAGAGCTGCTTTCTGTTCACGAGAAACAGGAAGGACAGTCAGATTTACTTTAGAGTAAAACAAACCTTTAAATGGTTCCCCTCAAATGTTTCAAATTCAAACTCATATGGAAGTAGATTTTTGCTATGAAATTTAAAGACATGAAAAGTTGGGATGTCAAACGTGAGACTGAAGTAAAATTTTTTTTTGTTTTGTGAATATATTTATTCTCACCGTGCTGCTCTTAGCCTGCAGTTTATAATCTCCAGAGTCTGCAGAGTTCTTTTGATGTCTCCAATCTCACACCTGGACATCTGCAGAGTCTCAGTGCTCACTGCCACCTCTTTGCTCAGCTCCGCCGTCTGCGAAGCACAATGATTAGAATCATAATTGTCCAAGTA